GATGTTGGAAAGCTGCAAGATGTTTTGCTTTCTTTTTTGAGTTAGAAAAGACTCAAATATCAAATCGGTCGAATATAACATGACATGTGGTTTATATCTATTTGAGTTGGGTTTCCTGTCATTGATTGCGCCAATTGCAAGAACGTGGGAGTCTTCCGAGGCCAGAGTTAGTTTAACTATCGAGTGATATACGGTGATATATTGAGCCAAGAGCTGTGGTTAACTGGCTTTTTATGAAGGTTCAGCTAATGGGTCCACAAGTTTCGAGAATCCAAATCAGGAATTCATCTGCATGCCGCGATACTCTGATATCTGGCATTACGAGTGAAAAATACCGAATCTTTCGTTTATAAGTAGGCATTTGAGACTACCAGGAGATCATATATATGAAAGTATACATTTCACTATCATCGTTCCAGTCCCACTGTGAGTGTTGTTAAGGCCTAGATGAGGTGGAAGCTGCAGTCCACCCTGGATAAGAATGCCTCTTGGCGAATCAAAGCTGTGTGAAAGTCAATATAAACGTCATGTCTACTCATATCATCGTGAGAAAATGCAATTACCACCCTGAACGAAAAGGGATGAATATGTCTCATATAATGGTACAAAAGAACAGAAAACGTGTACTAAACAAAATAATGTACAAGTAGGTTAGCAGCAAGAAGGAAATTGAATGAACCGGAACATGTGGGGTCCTCGCAGATAAACATGTAGCGGAGCAAAAGTTGGTGTCAGCCAAGAACGATGAAGTGGTGACAAAGTGACGCATAGCCTGAAAAGTGATGCCCCAATTTCAATGAGCGGAAGTATATTTGTTCTCGAAAATATGAAGAACAAGATGGTGTGGCCCCCGGTATGGTCGCAGTCCCCTTTCGATTTATAAAAATGGGTTGACCTCGTTCTCGCAACTTGGTCTTGTTGTCAGGAGGACCTTGCCCGAGGTCCTCTGCCATAGTAGTTGGCGTAATTCCCAGCATCAGACAATGGACTTGGCACATGCTCAGACGTTTCGATGGCATCGTAGTCGGCATCATCAGTGAGTGCTGCCCTTCTCCGCCCCAAGCTACGAACTCATCAGAGACAAGTGAAGTCAATCCCTCCACAAACGTTCTGCCGAAGACGGTTACACTACCAGTCCTTTTTCTGTCCTGGCCCATAGTTCAACCGTTTTTGGCAGAACGTTAATAGAGGGAATGATTTCCTGTTGCGGAGAGAAGCAAGACTCACCGATGATGCCGACTACGATGCCGGCGAAGCGTCTGAGAATGTATCAAGTCCACATTCTCATTCTGGGAGTTATGATAACTACTATTGCAGAGGACCTTGTACAAAATGCGTTCTAATAAGTCGCCCTGACAACAAGAACAAATTGCGATAACAAGGTCAACCCACATTTATATTTGTTCTGTTCAATATATTTGCCTAAAATACTTCGCGCTCGAGCTTTGAAGGGAGTTCCACTAGCCGGCAGAAAAAAACCAACACACTAAATTGACGAAAATAATGTCGCTGGAAGAAAGCTTTATGAGAATTGTGGTGAACAGAGATTAATGTTGGTATGAAGATCGAAATATAAGCACCACAGTGCTCTAATGAATTTTCAAGAGAAGTCATAAAGTATGAGGGCAAAATGGCAATAGTTCCGGCTTCTCCTATCCAGACCGAACCAATAAAATTGGCAATTTTAGAATTGAGTTATGACAGGATAGATTTAGCATGGGTGCGAGATTTATTGAGGTAACGAAACGAGTACATAAAATATAATTTTCTTTTAATTACCTAATAGAAAACCAGCTATATCAGAATAAGTATTTTCAATTCATTTTATCCAACAAAACCAATTATAACTCCTTAATATTTGTTGGGGCAGTTGTCTTAATCCTCACAAAGAGCAGCTAACACTGGGGATACTCTTAAGCTTACTTTGAGTTACCGAATAGGGACGGAATCGTAAATTCCCCTATATACACAGCAATTAGTTAAACTACACGGCCAATTAGTTGACGACACAGCCACCTTATCAAGCATACACAATTTCACTCGTTCAACATGCTGTCAGACAACCAATGCGAGCATATAGCGGAATATTGTTTAAGGATACAAATACAGCCTAAGATCAGCGATAATTTGCCTTGCTACGAATGCAAATTTCAACTCAAATTAAAAATTAATGTATCACTTTGGCCTGCTGAAAGGATCCAAATATACCAAAAGTTAATTGAAAAAATGCATCACACAGGCTTACGCATAACCACAATCTGTTCATTAGAGTATCCAGACTCGACAAAATCGCAAAATAAAAGTAGAAAGTAGTAAGGACTCTTAAAGAGGTAGATAAACTATAGCAGACCTTTTTATTTAGTCGCAAGACATATCACCTCGGAAAATTGATTAGTCTCCCAACGGCTATTCATAGGCTTGCCAGACTAATACACCTTTATAGCAATTACAGCGTTTCCAATTATCAGGCAAGTAAAGATAAAAGGAAATAAGCCCAAAGAAAAGCAAAGCATATGCATATATGCTTACCCTGATTCCTTGGGCGTGGTGAGGGACCATACGATTTTGCCGTATCCATCATTGCTAGCCAAGTTAGCCAAATCTTTACCATCACTCTTCGTGTCTGTGCTGTGATTGAGGCCACTGGCTGGAGGGTGGATTGAGGTAGCAATACTTTCTTTGTTTTGCAGAGATCCTTTCAAGCTGGAATTGCCTTCGTTTTTTACACTGTCACTTTTGTAGTTGTCTTTTAAGGATCGTCTATTCTGCCCAAGCTTCCCATCAATGGCATTAAGAATATGCACACTGAGCGGCATCAAGGTTTTTTGGGATTCAGGGAGCGTAGAACAAGTCACGGAGCTGGTCGATTGAGAGGTGCTGTCATGCATGTTGGCGGCTAAATTGACAGGCTGGCCAATAGAGACGTTTACCTCGAAAGACTGTGAGTTGGAGCGCCTTGGGGAGATAAGCTTTTGGCAACCGGGATCTTGCTTATCTTGAATGGAGGGGCTACTGCCGGCTACGGGGACTGAGGAACGGCAGTAACCGGCATCTAAATTGACAGCGATTGGAGATCCGTTGCAAGTGTCCCTTGCGGTGATATCACTACCACTATTTCCAGTGGCGGCTGGGATGAGAGGCAATGATACGCTGAAGGAATGTTTTCTGGCCGTATTGCCGGGGGCTGAACTTGCCGCCCTACTGACGGTTTTTGGCGAGGACGGCTCGATTGGCCCAGCGATGGTGGTGGACGTATACCTTTTTGCCAAGATTTCAGGGACCATGGGTGTGATCTAAAGTAAAACAGAGGAATTTTTAGTATGAGTAACAAATTAATCCAAGTCCATGTTCTTGTTCTTGTATACAACTCTAAAAGCACTATTGTCAAAATTTTAAATATATATTGGAAATGTGTGAATTATGA